ATAGTGATAAATTATCATGAGTCCCCAGAGCTGTGTAATAAAACTGCATTGGGAAATGAAGCAGAACTACAAAGTGCTCTCTGGTTAATTTAAGAAGAAATTGAGTGAAACACAAAGCAATAAATCAGAGCGAGCCAGGCAATGTGAATTTCTCCATGTAAATGTCACTTTAAATCCTGTGTAGCAAACATAAATGGCCAGAGAAAGAACAAAATATAGAAATAAAAATGCAGGATACTTCCAAGTGGTCCCTGAACGCTGAGCTCCCTGGCTAATAAAAATGATGTACAGTAATGTAATTCACCACAAGACCTTGTTTAGCCTAGTGTGAGTGCAGCATTTTACTTCACTTGCCCTGGAGTACTCCTGCCCCATGCTGTTAAACTAATTCACTTTAAATCACTCTGCCTAGAAAAAAAGTGAAGCTTAATGAAATTAAAACTCACTGAGGACACATTAGAGTTAAAGTGTGTCATGTGCTGAGATTATTTAGTTAGGGGAGTTTGATGTAATTGTTGACAGGTCGTTCATTCATCCTTGTAAATAAAGATTCACGAACTATTAAGAATGTGCATATATAACTAGTAATTGCTAAAAGGCAATTAAGCAGTCAGTTTAATGTCTTATCTTGCTGGTTGCCCTACAGTTGTTTTACAACTAGGAATTAAAATTTGAAAAGAAAGTTTTCAGTGTTCCTGGCCAAATATTGATTAAGTAGTTGTTTGCTGATGCCATTGTGGCACATAAAAAGGCCAGTGGTTCTGCCCCTCGTTGTTCATCTTCCATTGTTGCTGATTCTTAACCTCGGAGATCAAAGGAGGATCATTTCGGTTTATCTGTCTTGGAAAATCCTTCTTTGCTCCTAAACCCGTATGGATTAATGGCCAAATTGTCTTTAATGAGATGTGAAATTTGAATGGAATCCTTATTTTGCATGGTCTGTTGAATGTATACACTGTATGCTCTTACAGTTTTTCTTTTTGTTTTTTTTTTTCTTTAGCATTACTGGATTTGATTTTGTTTTAATAACTTTATTTGTAGTATACAATGCATTAAAATGTTACTATTCTCGCAGGTAAAATACAGTGTATTTTACTGAATTTTACTAAAACTAATATTTTTGCATGTAATCTTTTTGATAAGTGTAGCCTAAAGGGAAAAAAGTTTTCTTTGTATACCAAATCACGTAGGAGATAAATAGTCCAGGGCTTCTAATAAAAGAAAAGGAGCTTGAGAAGCCAGCCCATTCTCCAGACTGGGCTCTCAGAATACAGGGGACACAAACAAGCTTGCAACATTTGTTTGGTCATTTTCTTCAGTTTGGATTTTATGGATGTTACCTGCCTCAGCTAGGATAGTTGTGCTGTCCCCTCTCCCAGAAAAAAGGGAAGTTGGATCGACGAGGCTGCGCAAAAAAACAGCCAGAGCCCTTGAGAACAATCAGTTCCTTGTAGCATGGCAGAAAGCTATTTATTTCAGATAGTAAAATGTATCCCACCACATCCTCAGTAGGAGAAGCTGTGCACTCTGGATGTGCTTTCTTGTCATTATGATACGAGTTTCCCTCTGAATTGTGAGGTCTGGGAGTGTTAGATCCAGGTCCCACCTCACCCGCTGGACACAGAAATTTAGCTTAGCTACAAACAGTGGTAAGGAGCCTGATGGAACCAGAAAGCCTCTCCTGATGCTGTACTGATTTTTAGGTTTTTAGGGTGTGTGGGTCTCCTCTGCTGTTTTGAAAAGCATCAGAGTAGAGGATAAGACAAAGTCTTTTAATCATCATTTTCTCATTCAATTTCTTAAATACACTCTGCTTCCATTCTCTCTGGTCATCACTGATTAAAATATCAGTCCGTGCATGCTTTGCAAGTACTCAGCTACTTCAGGACACATTTTGTCCCAGAGTAAGAGCTAACACTCTGGAAGCACTTTAGATACAAATTTTCATCGAAGTGCATGAACTCGACTTTTCTGTTTCCATAGAGAGCCGCGGTGAGCACAGCGATATCCATGCTACCTTTGGATTTTTTTTTTTAACAAATATTTGCCTGGTTGTAGACTTTCTGCCAAACATTATCAATGTTTACATCATGCACAAGCCCATATATGGACCAGTCTTAAGGATTTTTATATTTATGATATGCCTCATATTGGATGTCTGATCTAAAAATGACTATGTAGNAAGTGAGCTCCATCAGCCGCATCCTGCGGAGCAAGTTTGGGAAAGGCGAGGAAGAGGAGGCTGAGCTGGAAAGAAAAGAAGTGGAGGAAGGCGACAAGAAGGCCAAGCACAGCATTGATGGCATCCTCAGCGAAAGAGGTAAAATCCTGTTTGTCCCTGCTCTCCCTGCGACGGGCCAGGGGCAGTCCCAGGCGCTGGTGGCTATCTCCCGTCCCCAGGGGCTGTGCTGGGGCCAGCGCAGCGGGAGCTGTAGGGCAGGGAGTGAGCCCTGCCAGCCTGGCTGCCGCATCCCAGGGTATCCCGCTCCTCTCTGGAGCGACCCTGCGGTGGGCAGGAACGGCGCAGAGGTTGGAACAAAGATGGGAATCACCGCTAATTTGGCTTTCGATAAGCAGGGAGCAGGGAGGGTTGGAGCCCCTAGAGAGCCCCTCATCACAGCCGTGCAGGGGCTCCTTTCCCAGGGCAAGCAGGGGAGGCTGCAGCTGCATGGAAGGGGCAGTTGTAGCAAAAGGCTGCTGAGCCTCCTGTCTTTACAGTCTGAACGGGGCAGGGAGACACACGCTTTGCTTCTTCTGCACTTAAAACTGCTGGGAAGAGCATGTGTTGGTGTTTGGCCCGGCACTGCGAGGAGGTTGCAACCCGAACAAGGCGGAGGTGAAGGGCTGCTGGGGGGGACAGCTGCTGCTCCCGGTGCAGCCGTGCCTGGCTCCCGGCTGGGCCAGGGGGCAGGGGCAGGCGAGGGCCCGGCCCGGCCGCCTGTGTGTGGAAGTCGCTGCCCAGCACATGCACAGGCACTGGAGAAGGCGAGACAAAAGTACCAAATGAGCTGGTCAAACATTTGTACAACTTTTCCAGCTTTTACAAAGAAGGCCTTCTATACACAATCTACACTTGGAGATGAACTTGGAAAACAAAGAGGGGGGAGTCCATTGAAACTCACACTTTGGCTTTGCACAGACAAAGCTTCAGCTAGCAGCAGCTTGATGTGAACAAAAGAAGGCAACCTTTTTATAATTCAAGGAGAAAAGAAGAGAAAACAGCCCCACAAAAGGCTGAGAAAAGACATTATGGGCTTGCAATGAGGGATGAATTATTCAATGAGCCCCTAATAGCTGATGCTCCACGCAGTTTTATGGACTCTCCATCGGGGAAAAAGTAGCTGTTTTTAGAGAAAAAGTGTTTATAGCATTTCTAAGCATCAAGGGATGCTGGTGCCATGCAAGGACAACAGATATCCATTCTTTAACAGCAGGACATGTCCTTGTTTTGTTGAAACAAACCCCTGAACCCTCTTAAAACTTAGTTTTCAACTGTTATTAAAACTTTCAGGGAAGCCTCATATTCTGCATGTTTGTGTTTGCAAGGAGGTGTGTAACACAGACATGCAGAAGACGCTAAAAATATTAGAGATTTTAAGGGCAGAAGGCACAGTTTGATTGCCTGGTCTAGTTGCCCCCATATGACGGACCCAGAGTTTCCTCCAGCATCTCCTTCACCAGAGGATTTTTCTAAGAGGGATGTACACCAAGGGAAAAAATAGCTGAATTCAGTGCCCTAGTTGTTAAATAACTAGCTTTGCTGCCTTCTTGAATTTCTTGACAGAGATTAGAAACAGAAGATAGTAAGCCTTGATAATATCACTGCTTTATGGAACAAAGAGTGGTTAATAGAGACAGCAAGAGAAAAAGTATTGTTATCAATATAACCCATCCTTCTGTTTCTCTTTGAAACAGTCTTCCTGTTCTTTGACTGTTTTCCCTTTAAAGTGGGGCTCCTGATTTATTATAAATCAGTGTCTGGCTGCATGGCTGCCTTTCACCAGCCCAGAGGAGCCCCAAAACTCTTGCAGGAAAGCCCCTGGGGCTGGTGATGCCTTGCTGCAAGAGGGGCTCACTCGTGCCTCCCAGCACAGTTATATGAGGAGGCTGCGTTCCACCTCCCGACGTACCGTACCCTCTCTTTCACTTCCTGTGGATGTGAGTGTCTAACTTTATTTGTTTTGACTTCAATCAGTAGCAATTTTCCCCTTGATTACATGGGGTGGTGTGGTCCTCTCCTGCCCTAGGCATGCAGGTTTTTGCTGCGTGAACGTGACCGGACAGTTCTGTGGAAGCGGCAGCTTTGGTAATCCCATCTGCTCTGTGACAGTGGCTGGGAAGGCTTGGCAGTGTGAGGGAGAGTGTGCTCTTCCCCACAGCAACGCCTGCTCCCCCTCCCTGACTAGCAAGCTGTTGCTTAATCTCCTTACTGGAGTGGCTGGGATGCTGCAGTGCGAGCGCGCTGCTGCTCCAGGAAACATTGGTTGCCATACTCGTGCCATGCACAGAGTGTGACACCAAAGGGACAGCACACCGCTGGGACCCTTACAAGAAAGGAATAACCATAAAAGAAGCCCACCAGTTTCTGTATCTGACCAACAACAAAAAAGTTCTGCTTCAACTCCCACTGCCAGCCAAGGAGCTTTGATTTCACTCCATCTATAAAAACAATCCCGTCCTGTTACTGAAATAACTGGCAGCGTTCCTAAGGATTTTGATGCCACAGGATCATATTTGCCAGCACCCAGCATCTTGGCTACAAGGCCTGGTGTGGCAGGGGGTGCCTGCTGGCAGTACATCTCAGATGCCCTTTCTGACACTGGGGTTGCTTGTGGAATGTCCAAAGGGTGTCCATGCGCCGTGCAGCAAAAGCCTCGGTGCTAGCTCAGCGCTGAGTGCTCCGTGTTGCGGAGGGGAAAACAGTGCGGGGTTTTGGGCAATGTGAGGAGTTTCTGTAGCTCTGTTCTTGGGGGCTTGAGGTATCCCAGAGCCTGAGTGCCAGGAAAGGCTGTGGGATAGGTCAGAAAGTGACTCCTGAGGCTGATCACGAAGCAAAGTACGGCTCTTCTGCTCGGGAGCACACATTAGTGCTGGGCATTTGCCTGAAATCCCCTCCTCGCCATCGGCCTTTGGGTTGCTCAAAGAGTGGCATTTTTTCCAAGGGTGAGAGCTGTCATTTTAATGGCATCTAATTCAAGATTTAGGGAGTATTTACAGCAGAGTAGGATTAAGAGAGAATGGAAACATGATATTTTTTTAAAATGTGTGATAGAGGCAGTGTATCATTGGGATCTCTCCCACCACATATATGGGTGTAGGTAAACTTTTGTATGCCTGTTGTGATTCTGTTTCAGCCTCTCTTCTGGACAGTTACACGTGATTCTCACACTGTTTACAGATGCCACATGTGCAGTCCTGTACATGCTGTATTTCAGTGTTTCTGCCAGAGTCACCCTCAGCCCTGATTCTGGGTATATATTTAAAGAAAACTTGATTGTCGGAGCGCATATCAGGAGGCTGATAGCTCTATAACAGCACATCTGCATTCTGCACGTGTGATAATTTGTCCTTAAAGGCACGAGCCATAAATAAAGACCACGAGAAAGTTTTGTGCCTTTATGTGGCACATCAGGGCTTATTTTTAGCACAACCACTACAGAAGAGGGAGTTGCTTGTACCTTTGGTGGGAGTTATGCGCGGCATGGTTTGCTGACTAATCTGATAACTCCCCCCTCCATAAAATAGCTGTTGTTTTCTGGCAGGAGCAGCGGCTTTCAGCACTGCAGCGATGGGGCAGAGCTGTTCCCCGGGCTGGGGCGGGGGCTGGGGCCGGGACCCCCGGCTGGCCTCAAAGGGAGCCTCTGTTCCCAGCCAGCGGAATTGGCCCCCGGGCCCTGTCCTGGCGGATCCTCCCCCAGTCATGCGCACCCGTCCAAAAAGGGCCCTACTCATCCCCAGCCTCTACCCTTGGCTGTACTGAGAGCAATTCAGGCTACAGCAGACTAAATTGCCTCCTTTATTTTCTTCTTACTTTCATCTTGGACCAAACCCTTCCCCCTCTCCCTCCCCTTCCTCTTTTCTTTTTTTTTTTTCTGTGTGCCTGAGGCTCACATTAATACAATTTCGGCACCACCCCTATTTTAGTGTGTGTATGTGGGGAGTTTGAAGGGGTAGGAAAAAAAAAAGGACCTTAGCACAAAAGCCCTGCTCAGCAGCTCGAAAGTTCAAGCTGCTGCTGCCTCTCTAGCTGTGTGATGCTTTTCCTGTTTGTGAGTTTTGGGAAACATTTTTGCTTTGTACTGTAATGGAATTAGAGGACAGATGCTGACTGTAAATGGGACACGCGACTACCAGCCCCTAGCTTAAATATTTAGATGCAATGTTACAATTACTGACTTGATGCAGGAGGCTTTGAAGTGGTGGCACATGATCTAAAGGGTAGCTCGAGCTAGATGGGCTGGCAGATGTTTAGATTAGGGCTGGTCAGTATCATACAGACAGCTATTTTTAGATTGCTAAACTAATAAAGACACTTTATTAAGGGAGAAGATTAACATGGAGGCACCAGATATCAGTTTGAGCCATTCATTTCTACAAAGCAGACTATTGGATCAGTGGCTGGAGCATGGGATGATGCAGATGCTGAGTTAGATTTTGGTTGCAGGGGCTGCCCTGGTTTTGCTCCAGTGTCCTGTCCAAAGGTGCAGCAGCAGGAGGACTTAGGTGCTGTGTGAAATGCTGTTGTGGGCTGAGAAGCACAGTTTGTTTCCCTGCTCCGTGTTCACGGTAAAGATTCACTTACTGAGGTGTGATGGCTGTGGCTGCAGGCAGTTATCTCCTTGAGCCTGAAATTTCATGCAGTACTCTGTATATTTGGTCACTAGCAGCTCCAAGAAATCAACTCGTGTCACCTGAACAGTGTCATTTCCGCGGCTCTCAGAGCTGACAAGAAAGTAGTACTTAATTAAGACAAACTCCCTAGTGAGTCCAGAATTTGGCTCAAGGGAGACAGTGCCAACTATATTTTCTGTCTGTCTTTTTCCCCTTCTCTTCCCTCACATCTTAATAGTGAGAGTCCAGGCCTGGGTAGAAAAGCCAGGTGTTGCACAAGTACAAATTGGTGCAGGTGATTCCATACAAATCCAGCACAGCTTTTGTTTCTTCTGCCTGACCCATCATCACTGTGGGGCTCTGGGCCAGGCTTCTGCTTCCAAATAATTATTCTGAGATAATGATTATAATAATAAAATATATAATAATATAATAATAATAATGATGACCTCAACAATTAATAATGACCTCACCATCAAGTGAGAGTGT